TCCGTATCCAATTCCCTTTTGAAAGCTACTATCGACAACGAAATGCATGTTGTTGTGGTTGGTTTTGGCGATGCCTAGGGACAGTTTCACATGTTTTACAGTTTTTGCATGTTACAATTCCCTTCTAATGAAACTTGCTATGCCATCAACAACAGCACAAACAAAATCCACACACTGCTTGTCCCCATCTCCCCATTCAGAAAATCCTGACTCCGCCCCGACGTTCTCGTGCGGTGACTGCGAAGCTGCTTTGCATGAGTTTTTTTCCAGGAATCTCAAGGATGTCCAGCTGTTCCACACAGCTGCCTCTAGATTACAAGTGTATCGCTGATGCCATGGCAGTCCACTGACGTCAACCTGCTTGTGTTTCCATCAGTTGTTGGATGAACTAAAAAGCTTTGCTCACATTCAAACCAAGACACAACCTATTTTATTTAAAAAAAGCAATTTTGTATTTAGTTTGACTTCCCTGATCTGAATATGTGCGTGTATACGTATGATATAACATTTGTATTGTAATACAATACATTGATTACAATTAAAAATACCTTTCATCACTCAGACACTGCTTTGAAACAGTTAAAGAAAATATCCGTGAGTGGTATGATGTCAACTCTGTTTATATAATATCTTACCCTTTGAAACATATGCAGAAAAAATTGTGGTCTTGAGAAGTTCATTAGCTGGGTCCAACTTGTAATATGTCCAGTTTTTTTTAATTTTGTTTCATGCAGTATATAATAATCATCATTAAATTTGATACAGTTCCTTTCATAGCAGGAGGACATCTTAAAGTACTTCACCGGATTTACTGTATGTCATTGTGACAAGAATGATCCGCTTACCAAAGCATTGCTTTCAAACTACAATATTTTCATTTAAGAAGGACCACTGGCAAAACTTCAACTCGGCTTTTTCAAGTGATGCTGCTATAGATTTCCAGCATTCCTGTTGCTTTTTATTGCTATTTCTATTTGTGTTTTCCCTGCATTCACTGTGAAAATTAGAGCAGACAGAAAGACTGCAGCGATTCGGGGGATATTCCTTGTGTTGATAAAATTGGATATAGAGCCTTTTGTAGACTCAGCGACATGCACTTGTATAATGCTTTACCTTAAATATACAACTTGAAGTACTTCACAAACAACAATTTATATTTATATAGCATCCTTTACACTGGGTGGTGTCTGGGAGCACTTAAAATAACAATAACTTGAAATGAAGTGAATGGTGGAGTGGAATTCATTGCAGCTTTCAAGAGGGAAGTAAACAGGCATATGAAAGCTAGAGGTTTAAAGGGTAATGGGGAAAGGTGGAGCGATGTGAATTGAATTGATCTTCTTGCTCTGTGAGCCCATATGGACTCGATGGGTCGCATAACCTTCTGTGATGTAGATTTCTATGTTTCTATATAGAGCCAAAAATGGCAGCTACTGCACAAACTGTGCCCCAACAACATTGCGATAAACAGACAATTTCATAATTTTTTTTGGGGGGGTGAGTTTAAATGAGGCAGGAAGATTAGATGGAAAAGATCCCACTTCTATTTGAAATAGAGGCAGGGGATCCCACAATATTCATCTGAATCATAAGGTAGATGGGACCTTAGTTTAAGGACTCAATCGGCAAAGGAATGATGATCTGGAATAAAATAATAACGAAAAATTGCAATGGACAAAAGCATTTATAAGGTCGAGAAAACTCAAAGCATTACATGGATGTAAGTACAGTATTTATGTGATCTTGTTTGAATCAGGAATTCCCTCCTGTGCTAGAACCAATTGCAATAATCAGATTTTCACCANTTTTTTCCCCTCCAATTTCTCCCTGTGTCTCCTAAATGAATTTCATTTCTTTTTGTCCTTCAGCTGGACTCCTGTGGTCGCAGTAGGTTGATTCTCAAGTTACAAATATCTCTGTTGAGCCAGAACTAGTTGCAGCAGGTGTAACTAGTTGAAAGAGCAGATGGGAGCATCATTAATTGGTAGTGCCCTTGTGTGAGAAGCTGAGTTCAAGCCTCGCACTGCTGGGACTTCAAACTCATGGTCTAGGCTTATGCGTCAATATATTGTTCAGGGAGACATTAAACTACCTATTAAAGGTGGATGTGACAAATCCCACGGCACTATTTGAAAAAGAGAAGGGAGTTTCACAAACACCAACAGAGAAACATCGCACTTTTAAATGACTTGAATGCTGTGCTAATGTTAAAAATAATCAAAGCTGTAAGGTGACCACTGGAGTTTGAAAGAGTTGATAGAGTTTGGAAATCTTTATTTTCTTCATAAATTTGTTAACAGTGTAAACATTTCGAGCCCAGTTTCACCCAGCACATGAGTCACACAGCGTACAAGTACATTTCATCTGGCAAATGGAAGAACCAGAATCCATTCTCTTTAACTGGAACACTCCCTGATAAAGTTGCACTATATACAGTTCAGTACTGGTTAAGAGGTTTGCCCTCTGAATGAATCCAGTCATCAGTAAGCCAATGTCAGTTGAAGCAAAAATCAAAGCAAAAGGATGGCAAAGGAATCTTTTAAAAATATCAGGATGAAACATATCCTGTTTTAGAGATTGTGTTTTAACAGACTCAATTTTTAAAAAATATAAATTAAAAATCATTTACATTGTAGTATTGACATTTACTTACATTTAAACTCTTTTTATTTGGAAATGTTTCCATCTGAGGTTCTTTTCACATTGAAATTTAATTATTTTAAAACTATGGCAAAAATTAATGCTGCAGAGTTCTATGGTTCTCAGCCTATACTGGGAAAATAGCACTGTCGCTCACCAGTCATCAGGTGTCAATATTGTATTCAGACTGGTGAAACAAACAGCTCAAGTATTATTTGCCATGCATGAAGTTTGATAGTGTAGTTGCGATTGGATAGTCTTGTTTGATTCTGTACCTAGATATACATACATGGGGTAAAAAGCAGTGGGTCTGTAAGGAGTGGGGGTGGAAAGTGTCTTGATTTAATGATGGGGAGCACAATACCTCATTGAGTTACTTTTCTCTCACTAATATAGTTGTACTGCTGCTATCATACCTCCATTTGCCACCCTGGCTGAAGTCAGTTACTCTATCACACACCAGATCATTGTTTGTGGTACCATGTCAAGTGATGAGGATACTCCCTGAAGCATAAGAGAAGTCAAGTACTTCCTTTTTAAAATTATATAAATTTATAAGTTGCAATAAAAAACGATGTGTTTTTCCCAGCCTGCATAGTTTGCTGTTGGTATTTACATGCCTTGTGATTGAGGATTAGTCTGTTCTGCATACAGCACATATTAATGAGTTGCAAGCATGATACATGTACTGTATGTAGGTGGATGCTATCAGCCCTCAGTGACAGTAATGGCAAGAGAAGAAAGAAGAATGAAAATAAATAGTGGAACTAAGAGAAATAGGAACCCTTCTTGTCCACTGAAATGGGCTTTGTCTATGGTTTCAATTGCTGGAAGTCCCTTTTTGGCCAAAATATTCAAGCCACCTATTGTTGTACAGTTCAAATCTACTTGTAGATTATCATTATGTGCTAAATTCTCTTTCGGCTCACAAACACATCTCAACTAGTAAATGTCAGGAGCTCCGAATTTTGCATTTTGGGTATGTGTTCGGCTCCTCAAAGATTCTGAAGCTGCACATTCCCAACATGAATTTCATATTCAGAGCCCCAAACAATGGTGAGTCTCAGTGTTTTCACATTCCCCCCCACCCATGTGTCCAGACCTACCTACTGATGTGTTGCAAAGTAGTTTTGCACATCTGTACTTTGCAGATGTGAAATTATAGTAAATATGGAAAATATTTTTCCTGAATATCAATATACTGTTAAATTACTTTTTGCTTTCTTAAAAAAAGTTAAATATATGTAAATACATGAATTATGTGTATGTATCAAATTAATGCATACAACCATAAAGAGGGCAGTGTATTCTTCTGAATTGCCACATAATCCTAAACATCTTAAAGGGAGATGCCAGAGTCTGAACTTCTACCTCGTCTTAGCCTGAAGACAATTTTGTCCTAAAACTTGAAGGCACAGATTTGGGAAAACTTCTTAAATTCTGTCTTAATTCGGAAGTCGATATTCCGCAGTTCTTTAAAAATGTGGGCTTCCAAATTAAGACTGAATTGAAAATTTTTGCACAATATTTAATAATAATCCTTGTAGTTGGATACAGCACTTATCACATCAAAACATCTCAAAGGGTTTCACAGAGTTTTTCTGTAAAGAGTAGTGACTGTGCATTTGTAGGCGAACACATTCTTAACTTTTAACTTGGAATCACATAGTCTAAGGTGAAGCTCCAATGCAGTGCTGCCCGTGTGTTGCATTGTTGGAGGTGCCGTCCTTCAGATGAGACATTAAACCAAGGTCCCATTTGCCTGTTTAGGTGGATGTTAAAGATCCCATGGCACTATTTGAAAAAAGGGAGTTTTTCCGATGTCCTGGCCAACAATCCTCAAATAAAGTCGGTCACTCACTCCATGGCTGTTTGTGGGATATTGCTGTATGTAATGTCAGCCCACAAAATACACAAACCACTTTAATAATAAATAATAATAATAATCTTTGCATTTGATATAGTGCTTTTCATGTCTTCTAAATGTCTCAAAGCGCTTCACAGAATATACTGCAAAGTGAATTGACTGTATATATTTTTTGTGGGTGAAATGCAGCAGGCAATTGCACACAGCAGTGTCCCACAAACAGTCGTGGATTGAGTGACCAAATTATTATTGTTTTTTTACAGTATATCTTGTGAAGTGCTTTGAGACACCTTGATGATATGATATGGCGTTATATCAAATGCAAGGATTATTATATTATATTAACTTTTAAGGCAAGATGATCTTACATGTCACTGAAAAGGGGATTCCAGGTGAAAAGGCTGCCCCAGGATGCCTTCGACCAGCTATTGTGGGGCATGGAGAGATGGGTAAGAAAGACAGAGATGTCAATTTAACATTCAGAATCCTGTAGCAATTCAAATACACGTCCCCTTTAATTAGCAAGAAGCTTGTGAGTTTTCTTGATTGTTCGATCATTTTTACAACTTTTTTTTTTAACTCTTGTTTTCCTGCAGTATCCGTCATCAGTGAAAGCCTTGATCTCAGAACCAGTCATATGTTTCCGTTTCTGACTGTCCTGCAAACACTCTTTTACACATGTTAGAGTTTTCTTGATGAAGAGGGAATTCTGATCCAGGAATCAGGATTTTCTTTCCTTTCCGAGAGACATATGCTTTCCCTGATGATAGCCTTTCATATTTGGTCACAAATTGTCTGTAAAATCAAAAACTCATTAAGAATTGGTTCTGGTCAAGAAATGGTGCTTTCTCAGTTGTACAGCTAACAGGGTTGTTGACCTTTCAAAAGCACAAATGATACAGTTTCTTGTTCTATAATGTAAAGCTGACAATGTGTTTGTGAATTCTGAATTACTGCTTTAGAAATTGTCTTGAAAGATAGTGAACAGAGAACACTGCTTAGTCACAGCTGATGCTTCAGTTATCTCTTCAGTGCTATCAAAATCTACAGTTAAACCAGTTAAGTAAAGAAGACACATTGCAAAAACGTACATGCTGTAATACAATAATAATCCTTGCATTTGATATAGTGCTTTTCACATCTTTGAGTGAAGCACTTCACAGAATATACTTACTGCTAGGTAAACTCCGTGTGGAGTAAGGAAACTTTCCCAATATTTCGCCCTACCGGGAATCAAACCCAGGTCTCTCACTTGCGAGATGAGTGCTCTAACCACTGAGCCACAGACATAGGAGACTGTCATCCCAATCAGTTTAGGCTGGCTTCAAAGTTAAGTTGAAGTGGTGAAATAGTGTTATTAACAATGTTGTAATGTTTCAGAAAATTAGATTCAGACTGAGATACGGCAGGAATGGGCTCTTCCAGACAGGAACTAAAGATGGTGATACAGTTAAATTGTATAGTTGCCTGAATCAAAGAACTATTGTATTGTTTAATGCCTTACAACACAGTATTATGTTGGATGATCTTATTCCTTACCTGTATGGAAACTGATCCTTGGTCATCTGCATGCAGACTAAAAATGGATATTCTGAAAATTTCACAGTTGAGACGAAATCAAGCTGGGCCTCTGTTTCCACACTGGTCTCTATTCCCGTCTTCACAGACAGTGAATCCACCATAACGTTACCAACTACAACCATCGCACCTCTTCAAAACAAATATCAAATAAAAGCGAAACATTTAGGTTTGTACAATGTACCTGCACTCTGATGAATAAAGAATCTTTTTCACCATATCCACTATCCTGGTCAACATTTCTTCAAATAAAATCAGTCATTTGCTTTATGGTTGTTTGTAGGACTGATGTGACAGGTGTTATATACATGTAAATTTGTATTTTATTCTATCAATGGTATCTATTTTACAGTATCTGTGTTAGGAGCAAAGAAATTGTGAAGCTTAAAAACAGTGTTCATGTGTGATTGTGGCCCCACTATCACTGTCCCCTCGCTTACCTTGCCCCCTAGTCAACCTGCTCCCTGCTCACTCCATTCCCCTCTCACCCTGAGCCCCTCACACTGTGCCCCTCACCCTGCCCCACTCCCACTGCCCCCTCACCCTGTCCCCCTCACCCTGCCGCCCTCACCCTGCCCCCTCACCCTGCCCCCCTCACCCTGCCCCTCTCACACCTCCCCGCCTCACCCTGCCCCCCCACCTCTCACCCTGCCCCCCTCACCCTGCCCCCCTCACCCTGCCCCTCTCACACCTCCCCGCCTCACCCTGCCCCCCCACCTCTCACCCTGCCCCCCCTCAACATGCCCCCCCCTCACCTTGCACCCCGCTCTTTACACAAAGAGCTGTGTAAACTTTATCAATGACAGTTGTTACCACAAGGAAGCAGCCTCTCACCTGTTTGCCACAGTGGTTTTGGACTCTCTGTACCACAGGCTGAAATCCATTCCACCTGAGATGTCAATGGCTAAACCTCCTTGAAATTCCACATCTGCTAGTAGGCCAGATGCTAAACGTAAAACCTAAAGAAGAGAAAGGGAGAGATAATTTCCCTCTGAGGCTACACCAGCTATTCTTCAGCTACGGATATTGCACAATTGTTCTGGGATTGATCTACGTTCTGAGATGGAGTTTGCCACTCCATTCTGTGGGCCAGGCAAAAAACTGTCAAGTCCGGCAAGTCTGATAAACAATGCAATTTATGTTTATATAGCGCCTTTCAAGAAGACGTCTCAAAGCGCTTTGCACAGCTGACTGGGTTGGGGGTGGTGGGGGTGGGGGGGGGGAGGAGTGGGGTGGGAGCAAACTAGAGCTGAGAATAGTGGTGTGGAGGCGGAAGGTTGACCAAAAGTGCAGTCGATCAAGTAGGTCTTGAAGCGATCTTTTCAAGAAGGTAGGGGCGACGTGCAGGGTCTCAGGGATGGAGTTCAAGAGAGGAGTCAGAAAGCTGCTAAAGTGACCATAAGGACACCTCCTCTTTACAATTTTTTGAAATTACATTCTGTGTTATCTGAAAGCTAAGGTTTTAAATGGGAGGTCAGGATGGGCACCTGCGAATGATCCACCAGAAGAATAAGGCCTTTGACAACGTTTATTGGTTCTCCGGTTGCTGTGAACATCTTCGCCATCAAATCACTGTAACCATGGAAGAAGGTGACTGGCCTGAGCTGCACGTCAAACAGCACAGCAGACATCCGAGCCAAGGACTCCAGCTCCTCTTCACCCTCATCAGGTGTCGCAGCTATTAAAGACTCCAGGCCCTGTGCCTCAATAACAACCTGCAAAAAGTTATGCTGACATTATAATAATAATAATAACTTTTTTTTAAAAATGTGGTCACTCAATCCATGACTGTGTGTAGGACATTGCTGTGCGCAAATGGCTGTCGTGTTTTGCCCACAAAATATAGTCAATTCACTTTGCAATATATTTTGTGAAGCACGTTGAGATGTCTGAACGACATGATAAGACGCTATATCAAATGCAAGGATTCGTTTAAAAAAATTATTTCATATAGCGCTTTGCAGAGAATGTGTTCAAAGCACTTTACAAGATTTACTCTAATGTGCAGTGAATGTGAAATTTATAGGCAAATCATAGTAGCCAATTTGTGTGCAGCAATGTCCCACAAACAGCTGTAAAGTGAATGACAAAATTTATTTGGGGGATTGTTGGCCAGGACCCCAGGAGAAACTCCCTTCTCTTTTCAAATGGTGCCATGGGATCTTTAATATCCATCTGTATACGCAGACGGGACCTTGGTTTAACGTCTCATCCGAAGGAAGGTACCTGTAACAATGTAGCTCAACCCCAGGAGCGCATTGGAGTGTCATTTGAGACTAAGTGAGATGAAAGTCCCAACACGGGGCTTGAACCCACAAACTTCTGACTCAGAAGTGAGAGTACAACTAACCAAGCCAGGCTGACACGTGGTGTTTTGCAACCAATAAGGGACTTGCATTTTGTGCCATCAGTGGAAGCAGTAGTATTAAAGGAGCAGTGGGCCTTTTCTTATTTGATTATCAGATAAAATATTGAGTAAACTTCTGTTCAGAGAAAAACAACACCTTTATATACCTGAGTTGCATGCATCTGCTTTTCCTGGCTCAATATAAATATATCCATGTTGCTCTTTCTCAGGATGCCAGAGCCTGAATACAAGATGTCCAGGCTGTAAGTTGATGCTGAGTCGATGCCCCCTGAAAACATAGAGACTCCATCAGTGATTCTCCACATAGCCACAGCCACTGTGGGTGGAGATGTACCGAGCACTGGTCATACGATGATTCTCCACATAGTCACAGCCACCGTTTGTTCCGCTTTTGCTACCGAATCTCAACATCAAAGGCTCCAGGAGCAAAATATAGTTAGGGGCCTTTAAAGTACGTTGTTACCAATTTTCACCATTAAAAAAGTTGGAATTTTTAATTGGCAGTAAAACTTTTTTGTAAAAAAACTTTTTCAGCTTCAGGGTTGTGTAGCCATCACGGTCCAGCAGATTGCCTCTTAAATCATCCAGTCACAGATGACCTTTGAACCCTGGGACTGTGCACAGCTGACCTCAGCAGACATGAGATCCCATCAATCTGGATTGAATCCCACGTGCAAAAGGACAGCTTGTTTAATGCACTATGCCATAGCAGACCCCAAGGTGCACCAGCTGACGTACGTTTCATGTGTCCAGAGTAGGCAGACGAGGATCCGATCTTGGCGAAACGGTCATAGTTGTGGGTGACAGATTCCTTCAGCACCTGCCGCATTATTTCACTGCAAGAGTTCAAATAGATGGTCAAGATCAAAACCAGCTTCTCTGCAGCATTTATTCTTCTAATCTACAATTCCGAAGAGGTCTTTTAAACTGAAAATCGTGAAAGACTTTGAGGGGGAAAAAAAATGACATGTTTTTAAACGTCCAGCCTGCAAAGGGGTAAATGCAGCAGAAAGCAGGCTTCTTTAAGCCATGGAGTGACGCGAGTGGTCTAAGGACAGAAGAGAAAGACAGTTGACACATCAATCCCACTCCTTCCACAGTGTTAAACCTGCCCAGCCATGAACCTCACTCCAGCCACTCAACCCTTGAGACAAGGCATTGTCACAGATACTCCCACAATCCCAGAGATGAAAAAGTAAAGATGAGGAATATTTATCCTTTCCCATAGTTTTACCATTCAGCATATTGCTATCTGTAATTTGCTTTCACTATAGGAACTCTGTTTAGGAACTATAGGAACTTGAGCAATGTGGAAGCTGTGAGTGAGAGTCAGACATAGAGTGAGGGAGTGAGGAAAGGCAATCGCGAACCCAGGTAACCACACACCCCTAGGGTCTGTTAGAGACAGTTAAAGTTGTCAGTCCTTGCTGGGGACACTGGATGGCACTGAGCTTTTGCCCTGTAACAATAAACCATTGATTATTATTGTTCATAAACAAAGCATCTCTGTTGAAGTATTTGTCTGACTCTGCTGGTCCAGTGTTATAGTTATACATAGAAACCCCCTTCAAAGTTGTACTTCATTAATCACATGAAGGATCTGAGACTGTTGGAAGGTAGGGCAAGGCTTTGATATAACTCCAGCCACAAAACCAGCATGCAATCAGCATTTTACTAATGATAAATTGTGGCGCTGAAGGCAAGGGTTGTTGAAACTGAGAAATAGATCATTGTCAGTTCAGGCATCCAGAGGTAGCATCAAGCTCTTTCAGATCAGGTGTGGCACAGCCAACAGAGTAAACCTTCCTCTACTTTGCCCCAAATGATGGGCAATACAATATTCTGCCCTGTGTGCCTTCATACATTGAGCTCATTTACACGCTATTCTCCTCTTCTCAGTAATTAAATAAATATATCCCTTCACACTTCAACTAAACTCAATATGGTTTTAAAAGTATCATTAAACATAACATATATAATGTGATTTATAATTTAAAATTGCTCTATGTTTAGTTACAAGCGTGCAGGAACAAATCCTTCAATGTATCAACAGATTTTAAGCCAAGTGTACTACAAACTCTATTGAAAGAAACATCCTCTGTTGTTTACCTGGCAGGAAGCTCAAACCGCAAGATATCCTGTACTTTGGAGAGGAGGTACTTATTCATCTCAGGAGGCAGCTCCCCGAGAGAGAGCAGAATGTTCTTCACTTCCATGTAGGAGGGCTTGTTGTTAAAGATGACATTGGCGGCAGACGTTCGCACAGTCTTCTCGTACACTCGGAGGTTCTGGTGGTAGATTCTGTTCATCACCTTTTTCACCTGTTCAGCGCAAGAATCAGTTTTGTGAAAGTATGTAAATCAACGCTATGTTTCCTTTAAGGAATTTCTATCTCTTTTGTTGCCTACGCTCTGCATTAGTAACAATGGAAAGGTCAGAGGTTCTACGGTCCAGAGGTTATCAACGACAACGTACATTTGTACAGCATCTTTTGCAGTTAAATGTCTGAAAGTACTTAGAACCATAGAATCTTACAGCACAGCAGGATGCCATTTGGTCCATTGCCAGCTTTTTGAAAGAGCTATCCAACTAGTCCACTCCCGCACTCTTACCCAACTCTTAGCCCATAGCCCTGCAAATTTTTGCTTTTCAAGTTACCTATCCAATTCCCTTTCGAAAGCTACTGTCAAATCTGCTTCTATCACTTTGCAGAGGTGGAATGGGAGTCTGAGCAAGGTGAGAGACTAGGGGGTAGGAAGGAGATGATTGAAGAAAGTTCAGTCAGAGGGGTAGATTTTCTTAGAATGGTCTTGAAAACAGAGAGGGAGGAAGGGTGTCTGGGCTCACATGTAACCTGTTGATCCCTCTTCTCACTGGCTTCCACAGCCCTAAAGAAGTCTAATGTGATTAAAAGATCTATTTGCTCACTGGGTTGAATTGTGTGTAAATTGATGTGCCCTGCTCTCTGGAACTCTCTCCCAAATTCCCTCCATGGGATTTGGGAAAGAGATCCAGGAAGCAAGGCAGTTGAAGGCTCTCCCAATAGTAAAGTAACCAATCTTGCATGCCATTCTGTGCTTCTAATTCAATTTCCAGAAGGTCGGTAACTTCACCAACCAGTGGAATGCCACTCAGATTTATAAATACCAAAAAAGGAGTAAATTACATGCATATTATTATTACTATTATTATTATTATGGGGAAAGAGCCAGTAAACATGACCGAAAGGATTGCTAAAGAGTCAGGACAGACACGTTGATAAATTTCTATGGTTCTACTTTAGCAAATACATTTCACAGTAAAATCTTGCAAAGCGCTTTGAGACTCTCAAACAACATGATAAGGTACTAAATCAAATAATAATAATCCTTGGATTTGATATAGTGCCCTATTGCGTCTTTGAGATGTCTCAAAGTGCTTCACTGAATATACTGTAAAGTGAATTGACTGTATATTTTATGGGTGAAACGCGGCAGCCAATTGCGCACAGCAGTGTCCCACAAACAGTTGTGGATTGAGTGACCAATTTTTTTTTTGAAGGAATTATTACCCCCGGAAAAGCGATCTGCCATTCGACTAACAACCGGGTTCCTACTTACTGCTAGGTAAACAGAGGCGTGCGGAATTAGGAAACTCGCACAAAGTTTCGGCCTGCTTGGCGAGTGCTCTAACCACTGAGGTACAGGACTCCACATGCAAGGATTATACTTTATAAAATAGTAGGAGTTGGAACGAAGAAGAAAGTCACCTTTTCTGTAATGTGCTGGCTATCGTATTTCTGAATGGTGTTGACTGCAATGTTGCTGATGGGTCCGGAGCCAGACTCTGCCTGCTTCAGTAACAGTGGGATTGCTTCGGGGAGCAGGGCATTTTTCAAGGAAAGGATGTACATCATAATCTCAGACTCCTTCTCTGTGTTTTCCAGACCTTCGAGAATCAGTTTCTTTGCCTCAATTACTGTCTGAAATGGAATACAATTTATTTATTTACAGTCAATTTTGGTTTAGAAACTGAAATGCAGAAAACCGTATTATTTACAAAAGGAAACCTGAACGCTGTTTCATAAAACACTGGATTTTTCTGACTTTCTAAATATAAGTAATTTACACATCATGAGCTACACTCTGCAGCACTCCTAGCAATAGAATGTGGGTTACAGTTCCACAGTATAATTAACCATAGCCATAGCTGAAGTTTGGCTCAACCATGGCAAAGGTCATATGGGGTCTGACCCCGGCAGGAGCTGCTCCGTCCCAACCCGCTCAGGGCGCACCCACCGGGAAGCCCACGAGCGCACCCAAAACTGACTGAAATAAACATAGTTGTACAGAAGGACGCCTGAGATCTAACCAAAGAGCGTCCCGAAAATGTATGTACGATAAACATGTCCACGTACGTACAGTGCACATCGGGCACCTTCCGAAAGCGGCAAGCACGCCTTATCAGGGTGTGCGCGGGCACGCGCATAGATGTTGTGTACACAGGGGCAACTCCCGACTGTGTTAAAGGGAGTGTCCCAAAAAAAAGTGCACAACCTATGTGTGGTGAAGGAATGTACCGTAAACAGCAGCATGTTTTTTGTATCGGGAGAAAGGGGAAAAATTGTAACAAAAGATGTTGTGTTTGTTTTGGATTTCTGTTGTACTAAATATTATCTTTATAAATAAATATATATTTTCAGAAAAAAGTAATTGATGTGTGGCACACACAACAGTTACTGTCATTTCCACTCACCGGTAGTTCACAGAGTTTCTTCTGGCAGAGTTTTCTAATCAATGCTCCCATGATAATAACAACAGTTTCCTGGATATCATTGCTCTCAATTTTTCCATTCAGTTTACCCTGTTAGACACAAAAAAAACCTTACCAATGTTAAAAAATAAACTAGCTACATACAGAGACTCCGTTAACAGGAGAGTTAGGGAATGCTATGAATGTAATATTAAAAATAGTCCTTGCATTTGATATAGCGCTTTATCACGTCATTGAGACGTCTGAAAGTGCTTCACAAAATATACTGTAAAGTGAATTGACTGTCTATTTTTGTGGGCAAATCACGGCAGCCAATTGTGCATTGCAGTGTCCCACAAACAGTTGTGGATTAAGTGACCAAATTATTATTATTATTTTTTTGGAGAGATTATTTTCCCTGGAAAGCAATCTGCTGATTGACTAACAATCGGGTTCCTACTTACTGCTAGATAAACAGAGGCATGTGGAGTAAGGAAACTTGCCTAAGGATCCCTGGGAGAACTCTTTACTGGAGTCTAACTTATCCAGTCATTTCTCATCCCTGTAACACTGGGGATCAGCCTAACTGCTCTCCAATGTGCTCCCTCAAGAACCTTGGCAACTCCCTTAGGTTGAGGTGACCAATACCATATGCATCACTCCAGGGTGTGGCCTGCACAATTTGAGCATAACATCTGGGGATTTTATATAGCTGTATAGCCCAGTAGCCTTGCTTATTACTGGCTCACACTGTTTGGGCACAATGACCAGCTAGTCAGCTAACGTCCCTAGATCTCTTTCAACTTGCTCCTCATATTTTTGCATCCTGTATGCACCCCTTTGCTTTTATCTGTATTGAACTTCTATTTGCCAGTGATGAGTTCAGATGCAATCCTGTCAAATTGTATGTAAGACCTTGGCTGCCTTGTTGGATTCCACAGTTCCTCCTAACTAGCTTAAAGTCATCTGTAATCATATCTATGTTAGATATCAATCTGAAAATATGTTGGTTCCAGGCTGCAAATACTAACCATTAATGCTTTAAGCATTTCTTCATTGGGGTGAGAGGCAAAACCACAAGCATACAGAAAGCGTTCCTGTAAGATGACGGTGCTCGCATTCCCAAAGTCCAGGAACTCCAGCATAGCCTTCAGTGAAGCTGAAGTCTGAGCAGAAGTCACAGCGTCAACCAACTGTGGGCTGTGAAGAAAAGGCAGACACATCTGAATGAGTGCAATTCATCTTAGAGCTTTAGACTGACATCAAAGATTCCAAAAGAAATTCAGAAATTCTAGGATTTCTGGATTTCTGCTCCTGAATCCAGTGATACTGCGAGAAATGCATTTATATGGATACTAGTGGTGAGGAATTTAGACTAAGGTGTGATGCTCCAAAGCTAAATAGGCTGCCGACCCTCACTGAGATCCAATTTAGAAATTGTGCTAACCATGTGCAATTCTGTACGAATTACAGGGCTCCTGTAATCCTTTTCATTGGTTGTTTTGGTAGAAGGAATAAGGAAGTCACATACATCCTGGAAAATATAAACCTAAATGGGGTAGAGGAGCAAAGGGATCTAGGGGGACACATACACAATTCACTAAAAGTGGCAACGCAGGTTAATAAGGTCATAAAAAGGCAAACCAGGCATTGGGGTTCATTTCTAGAGGCATAGGAATGAAAAGCAGGGAAATTATGGTAAACTTCCATAGAACCGTGGTTAGACCACACTTAGAATACTGTGTGCAGTTCTGGTCCCCACATTATAGAAGGGATGTAGAGGCACAGGAGAGGGTGCAAAGGAGATTCACAAGGATGATCCCAGAACTGAGAGGTTATACCTATCAGGAAAGGTTGAACATACTTGGACTCTTTTCTCTTGAAAACAGGAGGGTAAAGGATAACCTGACAGAGGTCTTTAAAATGATGAAAGGTTTTGATAGGATAGACACAGGGAAGCTGTTTCCACTTATGGGGGAGACCAAAACCAGGGGCTATCAACATAAAATAGTCACAAATAGATAAGTTAGAATAAATTTCTTCACACAGAGAGTAGTGGGAATGTGGAACATGCTACCACAAGGAGTTGTTGAGGCAAATAGCATAGATGTATTTAAGGGAAAGCTAGATAGGTACACAAGGGAGAAAGGAATAGAAGGTTATGCTTGAAGGCTTAGTTGAGGAAGGGCAGGAGGAGGCTCATATGGAGCATAAACACTGGCATAGACCAGTTGGGCCGAATGGCCTGTTTCTGTGCTGTATATTCTAATGTATTCTAATGTATTTTGCTCTTGCTTCTTAGAGCTTAAGTGACACAAATCACGAATGGAATCCCTGGGTCACCCAACGACCTGCCCTTTCATAGAAACATAGAAACAGGAATGGCTTGGCTCTAATTTTATGATTATGTCCCCTTGTTCTGGATTCCCCAACCAGAGGAAATAGTTTATCTGTATCTACTGTATTGAATCCCTTTATTGCTTTGAAAACCTCGATCAGTTTACCTCTCAAGTTTCTAAACTTTCCCAATACTTTCATGTTTGGGAAACTTTTCCAGTCGTTTATTGATGATAGGATGAACGTTTTGGATAAAATGGATTAAAAGTTAGGCTTCTGCCCAAAAAACAATTTTCTGCCTGGTGAAGATCAGAAAAAAACTGCAGAATAGTCCATGAGTGTTTTTACAGTACTTGTCCTATTTTGGGAGTAAAGAATCAGAAAGCATCATTAATGGTCACTGGCAACTGAAGAACATAAGCAGAGGCATAGCCTTGTCAGCGACTCACAGTAAGCTGCTTTTTGCACTTCGCAGGACTTGCAGTATCTCTTGTTTTTTCGCTTTCCTCAAAGTCTGAATCAGGGACAAGAAGCTCCGAGTAGCGGATGCTCTGACGAGCTTCTCTGGCTCCAGCTCCTTTTGAACACTCTGCCAATGTTCTTTAAGCTACCAAAAGAAAGAAGAACATGTTTAACCTACCAGCTGCCTTGGTATTATTGTCCTCTATCAGAATATCGTGGCACAGCACATTTCCTCGGTTACAACCTATGCAAACTGGAAGTGATACTTTTAGCTTTCATTTATCAGCTGGTTATCTTTGCATGTAACAGTTCAGTCATGTTACAATCTCTCCTAAATGGAAGCAGTCAACATCCATATTGGTATTGGTATTGATACAATACCTGATGTCTAACAATACCCATTCATATTAGTACAGAACCTATGTCTGCTTTAAATTACAGAACAACATCAATGAGATGTAGAGCTACAGATTTAGAGCCTCTGGTGCTGTGGAATTTGTCTGTTTTCAAATCACAACAAAAAATAAATAAAATTGTCAATCACTATTGGAGACTTTTCTTAAGCATCTCTGAAATATGAACTGCTTGTCACTGGCCTGAACCAACAATCATATAGATAGTGGCATCCACCACTGGTTATGAGCAATTAGTTGCTTTCAGAAACACTTCTTAAGGACAAGGCTGCCACTAACTACTGCAAAGTAATTTTCCCTTCCCGCCCCAACCCCTCCCAGAGGGCGCATTTGTGTGGATGTCAAGTGAGGAAAGAATCTGACTTGGCTTCTGAATAAACTCTGTGGTCAATATTCATGACAGCTCACAATGTAAAAGGTTATATGTAAAAAAATTATCACCTGGGTGAGATACTGGAAGATGACATAGCTGTACTTCCAATTAGGGTTAGGGTTAGGTAGAAGGAAAACAGAAGTCAAATGTTTTTAAAGAACAGGAAATATTGAACTAATTATTGTTTCTCTTCCCTGACTGATACCCAAATGATCAGTGGCAGACTGGCTCCCCGAAAGGGCTTGGGATTTTCAGGTAAAATGGGGTCGCCGAGTCATGAAGGGGGGCCTATTTGTGGGAGCGCTGAGTTGTGGGCCGCTAATTCAGCATAAAACCTCCATGCATTTAAGAACTTTTTTGGGGTGCTGATTCGACATAAAACCTCTGTGTGTTCAAAAACTTTAGCAGGTCTTAAATAGAACTTATGAACTAGGCTGCTCAAGGTTAGCAGCTCATCTAAAGGATGGCACCAGCAACATTGCAGCATTACAGCCCTGCATTGGAGTGTCACCTTAGATTATATCCCAACGTGGGCTTGAACTAACAACAGCCAAAGACTTAAAACCTAGGTGGAATTTTACCCATCAACCCACAACTGTTTGTGGGATGCTGTTGTGCGCAAGTGGTAGCTGTGTTTTGCCCACAGTATATACAATCAATTCACTTTATAGTATTTTCTGTGAAGCGCTTTGAAGATGTGATAAAACGCTATATCAAATGCAAGGACTATTATTGTTATATTTTACCCCACATACTGTTTGACCCTTAGGTAAAAATGCCTGGAAAGATATTCCAAGCACCAGCACACCATCGTCACAAGCACAAAATACTATTCCCTTCCAAGGATAAATAAAAGAGTATGTCTAAACCAGCTTGATCACTCACCGAAGGACAGCTTTGGCAATCTGCTTTGACATTTTCGGAGACCAGGGACACAGCCACAAACTTGGGATTCACAGATTTAACAATGTCGCTAACTTCTTTTCCAGTGATTTGCTTTGGGCCAGCCTTTGTCGCTTGAAACACCAACTTTTGACTGAAGAAAAAAAACATTGTTTTACTGGAGATACAGCAATGGCCAGTTACTGGTGTTCTGCAGTTCCTAGGTAAGGATAAATTAGTATTCGAGGACCATCCTTCAATATGCTCAGGGTCTTCATATACTGTGTAATTCAGTAATTTACCTTTGGCACCATTGGGGGTGATTATTTCCCTAGTGGCTGTAAGACACTTTCACACTCCCTGGCATTAAAGTCCTTGAATAGTTTTAAAAGGGAATTAGATAGGTGATTGAAAAAGAAGAATATTAGGGGATACAGTGTGCGATCAGGAGAGTGTGATTATACTATGTGATTCTTTAACATCCCACTAAACATACCAGTAACTCTGGAATATGGGTCAGTGGCTTATTTCTCCAGCAGTCACTAGGATCACTGTTCTCCTGTGGTATCTAAATCAGAGAATCATAGAACCTCATAGCATAGAACAAGGCCATTCGGTCCTTTGTGCCTGTGCTGGTTGTTTGAAAGCGCTATCCAATTAGTCCCACTCACCCACGTTTACCCCATAACCCTGCAAATTTTTCCTTTTTAAATACCTATCCAATTCCTTTTTGAAAGCTATTATCGAATCTGCTTCCACCACCCTTTCAAGTAGTGCATTCCAGACCGTAACAACTCTCTGGGTAAAAATTGTTGTTAATTTCTACAGTTTTGAAGTTCTGTAGTTTGTTGCAAATTCCAAAGCTGGGGTCAAACAGGCTTCCGACCATGCTTTTGGAAGATTTGTGCCTAATGGGAAGTTTCAATTCCCCTTACCCAAATATTAAAATCCCGGTTCTTACTTTGAAATGATTTTGACTGCCAGTTCTTGTTGAAGATTGAGTGAAATCAGGCGATGCTCCTCATAGAGTATGGTGTGAATGAAGTTCCCTTTCAGCACAAAAATGCCACCTGATGTTGCATTTGTGCTGACTCCTAATACCTGGAATAAAGGAAAAGACTTCAAACATTCTGACCTCAAGTGCAGCTCTTCAGATTACTGTCAGTGCTTCTAATTTTAAATACTGAGCTGTTGTTGTTCTGTAGCTGCCATTAATAGTGAAACTATAAAACAACAGCTGGTCTCAGTCACCAGGGATGGCAGTACCTTCCTCCACATCCCTTGTGATGGCCCCCACATCATAGGACAAATGGTAACCAAACCGTGAGGACCCATTCAGACCTTGGCTCACAGGGTTGGGAACATGTCAACACCAATAAGTGTCAATGAAGCAGAATGGCTGGTGCCTCGGGCTTGCAATCTTCTCTGTTGGAATTACCCCATGTAATTTCCTCTCCTTGCCCACCCCTCCCAATGAATATGTTTGGCCCTTAATCAACCTAAAACAGTCAATTAGGTTTCTTTTCCATTTTGGCTACCAATTGTCGATGTACTCCCAGGTTACGTAAAATGCAGAGTAAAGTTTCTTCTGCTCTGGCCCATTAATGTATCTGATTTGGTGATGAGCTTTAAGTGTTCTGACCCCTCCTTCACCTCGTCTTCTTCTTCCCCCCACTCCACACACAACCAAGGCCTGCCATAAGATCCGTCTTTTCAGCTGTACTTCCCTCTCTTCCCAACCCCACCTTTACAAGTGACCGTAAGTATGGTCAAAGAAGAAAAAGGAAATCTGAAGACAGATACAGAGGGGGCAAGGGGAAGGGGGTCGAGGCAGGGAGTTGCATAGGTTTGGGCGTATTGTCTGAAGGCACGTTTGTCATTTGTGGAATGGAGAGGTTGGCGGACATGCAGGCCCAAGTTGAACAAGCAAAGGGTAGAGGAGTGGGGTGTGAGCACATTGGAGAGGTACTGATTCGTGAGCAATTTGAAATCACTCCATTCTGCGACGGAGAGCCAGTGGAGCCTGCCAAGGACTGGAGTGATGGAGATGTGGATGTTGGTATGGGTAAGGTTCCAGGCAACTGAGTTTTTAATCAGTTGTACTTTTTGAGTCCTGTAGCTCAGTGGTTAGAGCACTCGCCTTGCAAGCGAGATACCTGGGTTCAATTCCAGGCAGGGCGAAACGTTGGGCAAGTTTCCTTACTCCACATTCCTGATAATAATCCCTCCAAAACAAAACAATGATAAATTGGTCATTTTCAATCCACGACTGTTTGTGGGACACTGCTGTGCGCAATTGGCTGCTGCGTTTCACCCACAAATATACGGTCAATTCACTTCACAGTATATTCTGTGAAGCACTTTGAGACATCTAGAAGAAGTGGAAAACGCTATATCAAATGCAAGGATTATTATTATTATTATGAATGGTGGAGCTGGGGTGACCGGTAAGGAGTGCATTGGACAAATTGAGTTGAGAAGTGATGATAGCTTGGTACTCATCTAGGCCTTGATGTGTAACAAGCAGGTGGACAGAACATTGGTGGACCTGGGGTCATGAATAGAGGAGTAAAGTAGATTTGGGTGTCAACTGCTTTCATGTGGAAGTTGACCATGTATCTGAAGATATCATCCCCGAGAGAGAGCACGTAAATAAGAAAAAGGAGGGGGCTGAACATAGCGGATTGGGGTACACTGTAGATGACTGCAGAAGAAACTGTTGGAGGAGAAAAAATGATTGTGGTGGGTCAAGTAGGTCTTGATCCAGGAGAGTCCAGTCCATTGAGAGGAATGAGGGAGGAGAGGCAGTGGAGGAGTTTGACATGTGTTGATGCCGACTATGTTGATGGCAGCAGAGGAGCCCAGGAGGACAAGGAGGCAGAAGAAGCCTTAGTCGCAGAGAGAGAACATCATTTGTAAGTTTGACGAGGGCTGTCTCAGTGCTGGTAGCAGGATGGAAACCGGACTGGAGGGATTTGAGCAGGGAGTTAGAAAAGAGTGAGTGAAGTTGGGTACCAACAGTGCAATCCACAACTTCAGAAAGGCAGGGCAAGTTGGGGGTGGGCCTATAGTTGGCAAGGGATGAAGGATGTTTTTTTTAGAGGGACGGGTGATATCAGCATTTATGAGGGGGAGAGGGATGGTGCCAGAAGAGGGAGACAGGTTGACTGTGGCCGCCAGCAGGGGGCAGAGGAGGGATACTTGGATGGTCCCATTGAGGAACACATTGGCAGTAATGGAGACTATTCCAGAACTCACAAAACCAATATATCGATACCAAATTTGAAAAGCAGCCATGAAATTCTTCACCTATTTTGTTTTGATTTCGGGGGCAGCCCTCAAAGTGTTAACTGAAGCTGAGGCATCTTCTGAAACTGCTTCACCAACCACATACTCCAAGTGACTGATGTGCAGGACAGCTGCTCTGCTCTTACACAAGCTGCTTGAAGTGGTTTGTCCCATTATTAGAGCAAGCGACAGAATTCTTTTTCCCGTGAAGTATTTTCATATTGACACCTAATAATAATTCTTGTATTTGATATAGTGCCTTATCACATCTTCGAGACGTCTCAAAGCGCTTCACAGAATATACTGTAAAGTGAACTGACTATATTTTGTGGGCAAAATGTAGCAGCCAATTGTGCACAGCAGTGTCCTACAAACAGTCGTGGATTGAGAGACCAAATTATTATTAATTTTTAAAAAAATTTGAAGGAATTACTATCCCCGGAAAAGCGATCTGTCAATCGACTAACAACCGGGCACCTACTTACTGCCAGGTAAACAGAGGCGTATGGAGTAAGGAAACTTGCCCAACACTTTGCCCTGGCCAGGAATCGAACGCAGATCCTCTCACTTGAGAGGCAAATGCTCTCACCACTAAGCTACAGGACTCCATGCATAATATTATTCATTTATTGAAATACTGAGTGCCTTTTAATCATGAAAGAACTGGTTTCCTTACTGCATATTAGAATAAAGCCTCCACTGCACTGACCTTATTGTGGTTGACAAAGCCTTTCTTTGCCACTTTGCAGCTGTTCAGCAATTTCTCTTTAGTCACGTGGTTTTCTTGGGCCTTGTAGTTAACTTTGCACTCACCAGAGACATCGACCTGGAGATCGGGGGAGAAAAATAGCATATAAGAGAAGATGAGACAGAGAGCGTGAGAGAAACTTTCAAGTTAGAAAGGAGAATGGGGAATTCTTTACAAAGAACTAAGGAAAACTCGGTTTGAAAACTAAGATTGAATTTAAGAATTTTACGAAATTCTGCACAATTTTAAATTTTAAGACAATGGTCTTAAGTCTAAGACTGAGAAATCTCATATCCTTTAGACTCAATCAGTTGAGTATTACTTGGTTCTCAAAGGTACAGGTTGCACTTTGCAATAAGGAATTAGCCGAGTAACTCTGTGGTGCATGGGTCAGTGGCCTATTTCTCCTGCAGTCACTAGGATCACTGTTCTCCTGCTGTATTTAAATCATAGAATCTTACAGTACAGAATGAGGCCCATCATGCTTGTGCTGGCTCTTTGAAAGAGTTATCCATTAGTTCCACTCCCCCGATCATTCCCCGTAGCCTTGCAAAGTTTTTTCCTTTTCAAGTATATGTCCAATTCCCTTTTCAAAGTTATCACTGCATCTCTTCCACCCCCCTTTCACACAGTGCATTCCACATTCTAACAACCTGCTGCCTAAAAAAAGGTTGTTTTGCCAACACAAAATGAGTTGACCCAGACTTGCCTTCGCCTTTTCATTCAGTGAAATCAAACACTTGTTACAAATATAATTATTACTATGTGTGATGAATAACAATAGTCATGATAATGCACAGAACTCAACATGAAATCAAAACAGATGTGTTCTGATGGAAGGTCACTCAAGTGGACGTTATTCCCTCTCAGATGCTGATCGACCCACTGTGCATATCATGCATTTTTTCTGTCTATTGCAGTGATTTCCCTGTTTATCTTTATTAAGGACATTATTACCTCTCTCACGCTTCCAGACTTGACCTGCAGTTGGAAGAGACTGGCAAGGCCTCTCTTTATGTTCTGAATCACCAGAGGCTCATTCGAATAGGTGTAGAAAGACTCCACCTGAGGAAAGAATAACAGGTCACAACCTTGCCTGACTCCACTGACTCTCCGTCCCTCAAAGGATCGAATTCAAGATCCTCATCCTCACTTTCAAGGCTATCCATGGCTTTGCCCCTCCTATCTCTCTGACCTGCTGACTCCCCACCAACCTGCCCGCTCCCTCCATTCAGCGGGCTCCGGTCTGCTCCATGTCTCCCGCCCGACAAGCCCTACCATCGGTGGCCAGGCTTTCAGCCTCTCTGCCCCCACACTCTGGAACTCCATCCCACGGTCTCTTCGCCTCGCTTCCTCCCTTGCCTCCTTCAAGGCCGGTCTCAAGACCCTCCTCTTCGATCGTGCCTTTGGTCGCCCTCCCACCTCTCTGACTTCCCTCACCCCTACCCCACCCCTCCCCCATGCTCAGGTCCTGAGCCCTGACTGTCCAGCACCTTGGGATGTCCTCCTATCATGAAAGACACTCTATAAATGTAATTTTGTTGTTGTTGTTCTTTGTGCTACTGTCAGATTTCAAAAACAACAACTTCCATTTATATAGTGCCCCTCACACAGGATAGAGTGCCAGAGTGCTTGACAGTGGCAGAGCATGGTGACGAGCACTCTTAATTCTCACATGTCAGCTTTGGCAGCAGACGTCAACAGACTGTTTGACTGTGGAGGTGATGCCCAATCTGGTTGTCAATCAAAATCAATATGAATGCCCACCCAACAGGGGTCACTGGACAGTGATGAAGAGTGGAGACCCTAAATGAATTGCAGCTCCCTAACTCAGAAGTGCTCAGATCATTTGTAATATTAAGAATAATCTTCCTTGCATCTGATACAGTGCCTTATCACATTGTTGAGATGTCCCAAAGGGCTTCATAGAATATATTGTAAAGTGAATTGACTGTGTATTTTGTGGGCATATATTTGTAGTGTCCCTGACTGCAGTTCTACAGTACCTAATTCAGAAGAAACAGAGTAAATCAAACTTGGGATCTTCCCAGTTGACCTGTATGGTTCATCTATTCACCAAGTAACTCACTGAGCCATTGCGAGAGGTGCAAGGATATACGTTAATTATAAGCTGACAAAATATCCAAGTGAATATAAACCCACACATTTAGCTTTGATTTATTTATTATGCCCTATCAGTATTTCTATTTCTTACTGACTTTGAACTTTAAACCATGCTGAGACACAGAACGTTTCCTGTCACCCTGCAAAGGAATGTGTGCAGTCAACATTTATTATTCAGTCAGGCATAGCGACACTTGATAGGGGTGAATAAAGTGGACCCTCCATCAGAGAAAGGGCAATGGTGACTTAATATTCTTCAATGCCATTTAGAGACCTGTGCAATTATATTCCAGTTATAATGCAGAATTTTGCAGGTGTTGATTAGCATACAATTGGGGTGGCTTTTTAGCCGGGGACATCTATGGGTGCAACAATACTACATTTTATGTATAACCGTGAAACAAGTTAAACATTTTGGGTTCATTCTCAAAAAATGTGTTCCTTTCTCCAAATCTACCAAAAGTGACTTGGAGGAGGCACTGAACTCAGCCCAACATTTATATTTACAGTTGAAGTCCCTGGGTTACTGGCTATCTCTTCAGAAGGATTCAGTGGTTTCATGCATTTCGTCCTGTGAGTAAGATGCATGATCCTTTCACATGGTCAAAGGGGAGAGGAGGAGCTCTTCACAAAATTACTGTTCAAATGCTGAGTCCAACAAGCAGCTTGAAGTACACTAATAATGGGTAGTTAAGAGGCACTGCTAAATGTGCTGATATCTCCTTTTGGGAATATGTGAAAGGTAGTAAAACATAATTCAGATCTTCTCGCCCTTAACGTTTAACAACTGAACCCTGAACTCTATGCACCACTCGCATTATTGCATTCTTGAGCAGCAATCTACCAAACTCTGTGTTATCTACAGCAATGAAGTTACCTAAACTACATGTGTCACATTTCCATTGGCTTGTTCTTGACCTCTAACTGTTCAATCAGATTATTTAAATCATACGCACGGGTTACAGAGTATCGGGTAACTGAGCAATAGTAAACAAGTTTACTTCTGAACTAGTATTTTTTACACATCGTTGCAATAGCTGCTGACACATTAATGTGAGTGAGGTATAGGGGAACAATGAGTCTGATCTGATTTGGGATTCTGGTGATCACATAGAGTAAATACTAGCATTGGAGTGGTTGTAGGGAAAAGTAACAATACTTATATTAAGCGTAAAGAGAACAACAACAAAATTACATTTATAGAGTGCTGAAATCCGGCCACCGATGGTGGGGTGGGTCGGGCGGGAGACACGGAGCAGGCCTGCTGAACAGAGGGAGCGGGCAGGTTGGTAGGGTGTCAGCAGGTCAGAGAGGTAGGAGGGGGCAAGGCCATGGGTGGCCTTGAAAGTGAGGACGAGGATCTTGAATTCGATCCTCTGAAGGATGGGGAGCCAGTGAGTCAGGCGAGGGTAGGTTGAGGGAGAAGACTTTAGAGGAGGTTAAGGTTAAACTTTACAATCTGGGAAGAAGAGAGCTCATCATTCAGATGTATAAAATATTAAATTGCATAGGCAGTCTCAGCATACTGTTTCAAATTAAACTGGAGAACTGAAATTTAAAATATTTACAGCTAGGCAATCAGAATAGTTTACTAAAGGGGCTTCAGTTCTGCAGATACCAACAGCCCTCCACGAACTCACACGATCCACTATTTTTATGTGTTATCGAGACAGTGAGCATCAGCACGGCTGCTTAATCACACCATAAATGAGCCCGATGTTGCCTCACCCAGTGACTACATATGCCCAGGTAAGGACAAGGACAGTGATCAGATGGTGGAAACCTGGCTGAGCTTTTCCCTTCCTGAAAATACAGCTTTATACTCTTTACAATACAAGACACAATACAATACACATTTACATATATCCAATTTACAAGGAAGGCACAATACAATATGCATTTACATATATCCAATTTACAAGGAAGGCCTTGAGATGGACCAAGCAAATATTAGGATCTATATCTTTATAAACACATACTTGGGGATTAAAACATGGCAATTTCTAATTGGATTCCTTGATAAAAACCCAAGTTGCAAATGGTGATTCTCTCTGGTGACCAGAAGTATGTCATGCCGGCCTGTGGAAACTCAATTTCAAAACAATTCACTCAATGCAACACTTGTAGCCTTGACACTCCAATGCAGTGGTGGGGGTGTGTTGCATTGTCAGAGGTGCCACCCTTCGGATGAGACGTTAAACCGAGGTCCCTGTTCAGGTGGACGTTAAAGATCCGATGGTACTATTCAAAAAGAGATGAGAGTTTCTCGTGGCCAACAATCTCCCAAATAAAATGGATCATTCACTCCATGGCTGTTTGTGAGACACTGCTGTGCACAACTGGTTGTGCACTTCACTCACAAAATACACAGTCAATACATTTTACAGTATATCCTGTGAAGAGCTTTGAGACTTCATGATGACATGAAAGGCATTATGTCAAGTGCAAGAATTATTATTAATATGGTTTCCTAATGGTTTGTTGCGACATTCTCTAGGTCATCAGAAGCTATTTCCGTTTGTGATTTGGTATCGTCATTAAGAATCCCTTTAGAAAGAGCTGCATTTTATAATCTATCAATCTTTATATGTATATATCTATCTTCTGCAGACCTTTCTTTTCGACCGCGCCATTTGGTCACCTTCCTCCCCCTCCCCTTGGCTCGGCCCCGGGATTCTTTACTGTGAAGCACTCTGAGACGCCATCTGGCATGGAGGGCGCTATATAAATCCAAATTGTTGTTGTTGTTATCAAAGATTCTGTAAAAGTATTTGGTGTCAAAACCACCACATAACACTTTGCAACATCTTGACATGGCAGGAGACTGTCTTACCTTCCCATTGATCCAGTGGATAAGTACTGGACTCTGCAAGGTTGACAGGTAATTCTTGCCCAAGATCCCCTCACCAGATGTATCTTTAAAGATGTTTTCATCATCAGAACGATTGGCCACAGTTTCAAATTTGACATCGGATATCTGGAAAATGACATATAACGTTATATATATAAAGTTACATAAAAATCACTGCAATAACTTCCGACAAAAACAATTACCTTGAAGTAATTGTTTTACGACATCGTTGGGTTAAGGCTTCACTGTACTCCGAGATTGAGGAAATAGAAACACGTGTCCATCAATATCCTGAGTTCTAAAATAACACTCCCAATGTAAAGGTATAACAAATAGACTGCTATTTTTAGTGATCAGCATGATAGACCCCATCAATTTTCTTTATAAATTGGAATCCTAGCTTGGATACTTTTTTTGGACTGACATTAAGATGCCAGTGGTTTCTATGGAATTGTGCAGAAACAATATCCATTCAAACAAACACAATCAATAAATAAAAAGTGAACAGGATTTGTATTGTATTTAACAGACCAGCTCTCAAATGCTTGAGCTCCCATGACTTGCATGAGTTTCAAATTTCCATGCAAATGTTTATAATATTAAAGAGTAAAGTGAAATAGCTGTGGGTCTAATTTGCATTAATCGCAAAATGGACTTGAAGAGTTTTTGCGTTTTCTATTTGCAAATATTTAAAGCTGCTCAATTTGTGATAGTTGCAAAATTAGTAGCTGCGGTTTTTGAAAGCTAGCAAAGTGTAAAGCAAAGGTAACAGAGCAAAACACCAAACCATTGACCACTACCCCAGCTCAGATCAGCTAACTTGGGGTGAAACCTAGAACCTTATGGTTGTGAGTGGATCAAATACCACATATTGTAGTGCGTTTAATATCCATTCAGGTGTTAAAGCATCCTTCTGGAGTGCCTTGACTTGCTGTGTGTAAGTGTAAGCTTGAGCTTGGGAAGGGGAATGGACATTCCAGGTGTCAATTTGAAACCAATTGAACCTACCCCACTCTGCTCATCTGAGAGCTACTGTCCCATCACAACATTAAAAGGATTTGGCTCTGGGTAATACCACAGGTTTCAGCCTTGTTATCTCTCAAAGCAAGGAAACCATTTGGCTGTGGTGGGTGTTCTTTCCACATTGCTCAAGCGAGCTTCGTAATGGATAACCCATGTAGCTATTTGAGAAACGCTTGTTAATTGGAGCTTCATGACTGAGGGAAGACAGTGAGGAGTGAGGAAGCGCAAAACATTGGAAGAAGAGAGAACAAAATGCAGAAAATCATCTGAGATAAGCTATCGTTCTCCTCCCTTCCCCCCAAACACAATTAAAATGGTTAGTATTAAAAGACCTACCGCAACCCTAATAAGATGGTCTTTATCATTGCTAGGGTTTGTCCATAGGATATCAAGGTTCACGTTGGATATAATCCTATATCCTGTGCTCTCTTCAACAATTCTGCCCCCTCTGTCCAGCAGCACCTCCATTGTATAAGTGTACTTGTATGTCTTCTCATTGTTGAACCTCAGTTCAGGCTGTTTTGCTCCTTTGAAGAGAATAATCAGATAAGAATCAGATAGATATAACAATTATAAATGGGCTGATTTACAAGCACCATCTTTCTGAGTTAACATGCCTTTGTTGAACACACACACAGGCTATCAGAAACAATTCGGTACCAGACTCAGACACTCATATCTATAATCTAGACTTGTCAGAAAGCCCAGGGTAAATTTGCTTTGCTAAGCTACTCTGACATTGGTCACTAGACATGTCAAGTTACCCTTTGCGAAGTAAAGAGAAAACACCAGCGATGGTAGGAGATTCAGAGAATTAAAAGGAAACAACCTAAATAATAATAGTCTTTACATTTGGTATAGTTCCTTTCATGTTAAAGGATGTCCCAAAGGCTTCACAGGATATATTATAAAATGCAGTGATTGTGTGTTCTGTGAGTGAACAGGCCGCCAAGTTGTGCATAGCAATGTCCCACAACAATGAAGTTAATGATCAATTTAATTTGGGGGAATGTTGGCCAGGACACCAGGAGAAACTCTTCTTTTTTCGAATAGTTACATGGAAGTGTTACTAACTGAGCCAGGCTGATACAGGAAAGTGGGGCTGAAGCTTATCAGAGAAGAATTGATATGGAAACCTGTGGAAGTTTCACGGCCTGGTAGTAGCATATGAGAAGAATTAAAACAGTGGAGAAAATGGATATTAAAATGAGGGACAAAAATAATTCATTAAAGTGGGTTTCACTCAGATTCCTTTCTCTGCATTATTGTATTTTAACATTTATTTCACTGTAGTCTTCAGGGTTCACAATTGTTACCCCAGGTGAGCTCTGGCTGCTTGTAGACAGATTCTCAGACTTTGTTTGTGGCAGATGAGATTTTATGGTTTCATGTACACATTGGTGTAAGGAAAATTCAGAACTGACCCATTAACTCCAGATGTGCCAATAAAATCATTGACCACCTCATTATAGAAGAATACCAGCTACTTATAAGCAGCTAGAATAACTGAATAGATAGATGCACCTTGTGATATGGTACAGAGTGATTCTGTTATAACGCAGTGTCTTGGCTCCGTAAGATTTACACTGGCATTATAATGGGGCTGGTCATCTGGTGACTGCTGACGTCACCTCTGCTTGACTTTCAAGCAATGCACACAGCACTAGAGATGCTCATGAGAGCAGCAAGTCTACCCAGGAAGCCAGTAAATCGGCATTAGAAACCACAAGTTGTACCACATTTCTGGTAACTGTGAGTTCTCAGGAATCCTGTATTAAAAGCAGTCTCTCTCTCTCGCAAGACAGCTTATAATGGGGCCCGTGTATGATTCCTCCCATTTCTCCCAATCAGCATCACACCAATTGACTAAGATGATGACTGTTCACAAGATCACAAGAAAGATTCGGATGAAGAGAGTATTTCAGCCCATTTGATTTCATCCTTCCACAATACCCACCCTCTTGTCTTCCCGTAAAGGATCAAGTTGTTTTTTAAACGTCTTAGCTTCAACCACCCATCCTGGTAACTGGTTCCACTCATTGATTATCCTTTGGGTAAAGAAAAACTTCCTGCTGTCTGTCTTGGAATTGCCCTTTGAAAGTCCAAACCTGTGTCTTCTTGTTCTCAAACGATCACAAGATTGGTTTGGATAAAGAAATTCTTTTGGCTGTTCCAATCTCTTTCTTTCTGAACACCCACCCTATTGTACTGCCATCACAGCATCAAGTTGCTTTTTAAATAAGTTCAGTGTCCTAGCCTCAACCATCCTTCCTGGTAACCTGTTCCAGTCATTGATTACCCTCTGTAAAGAAAAAAGTCCTAGTGTCTGTCTTGAAATTGCCCTTTACAACTCTAACCATATGTCCTCTTGCTCTAATGGTTATAGTTTTTCAATTCCATTTTGAATACAAGAAACTACTTTCAATCCCATAGCTCATTCCTCTAACATTGGGGATCATTCTCAACACAGATACTTTTTTAGTGCATCCTAAAGTATTGATTTCATGCAGAGAGAGCCAAGATAACAGCAGCTATTCGCATTAACAACATTCTTCCATTTCATGTAGCAGCCTAAAGGTGAAACGGTGCTTACCTTCCCTTACTGGTTGAAGCTTAAACTAAAGAAGACAACAATGATACTGCTAAGAGCCGCCACTTTTTTGGAGAAAAGAATGATTTGTGTAGGATGTGTTAGTTCATAAACATATTTTCGACCACAAAATATACGTTACAATATATTGTGTGAAGTGCTTTGAGATATCTCAACAATGTGATAAGGTGCTATATGAAATAGATTATTGTTAAAAACTANTTTTTTAAATATTTTAATTACACATCTAGTTATGCTCAATTTGACCTTTAAATTGCAGCAGATTCAGCAGAAGCCCAACATCAGATAACCTGCCTCAAGAACGTACAAGTGGCCTTTTGCAGAGAGACATTTGTAGAGATCTGGGACGAAGTTCCCGGGCAACCGAAGAACAGTGCATGGCACGTGGGGACCAGAGGGGAGGAAAAGGGAACAGGAATATGATACAGAACATATACCTGGACCTCAGAGCATTTTACCAGCACAGACTAATTGGGCCTAATGGCCTGTTTCTATACTGTATCATTCTATGGAAATCTACTCGACATTATCAATTGGAAAAGATAAGTTAGGGAATCGAGCAGATGAATCTGCTGCATGCAATTAAGTGGAATGGCCTTTTGGCCAATTGTACAATTGGGAAGGACACGTTGCATTCCTTTCTCTGTACATACTCTTCTGTAGCACTAGTAGATGCCTTGGTCAGCAACTTAGTGATGTTGTCCTTTGTGGAACACATGAGCAAGAAGTCATCTCATATATCTATGCATTTCTTTGCATGTGATTGTATTAAAAGACTCAATGAATACAATGAAACAATTCACCCCCATTCATCATCTAACTATTAAAACATAATCTAATTACTCCGCTTGGAGGTTGGTACATAGGTCACACCTTCATGAAGGTTTTATGACTTTTAAACCTCCGGGCACATATTGATGCACCAGTGCAATGTTGAGGGTTTACCAGCTACCACCATAATAGTCATTCAAATTATTGGCTGTTAGAATCAATAATTCAGGTCTCACCGTACGCAAGATAGGCTTTCAAACTAAAAAATCATTCACATATTTTACAAAATCCGCAAACCAGTGATCTTGCTGCCCCAAATTGATCTTATAATGAATACAGCACCCAAATCACCACTGTAATAAAGACCCCATTCAAATCAAATAGGCAAAGAGAAACAATCTTTACATTCAAGTGGCCTTGGTTGGAGCCACAGCAGTACTTTTAGATGATTTTGAACCTTCTTGATTGCTTTCAGACAGATTTAAATCCATTTCATATTTTGCAATAAAATATCCTCCAACATCTCCCAAAACTATCACTGTAATCATATACTTGATTTGAATATCTTATAGGATAGACTCAAACTAGCAATACTGAGAACAACAGCATTATTTAGAATGAGGGTTCACGAAAGTATACAAAATACAGTGGAAAGGGATACAATAAAACAATTTACTATATTCAGTTTCGGTTTGAATAGATTATTCTGTGGATACAGAATGCTGTAATTACTATCCCCCTCCTTCGTTACAGTTCACGACGTCCCACACAAATCATTGTCTCTTCCCCCTCCCACCACACCGTCCCCCCACACAACATCCCCCCACCCATACAACCCCCACCCCCCACACATACACACACAGACCTAAAAAAAAGTTATTTCAGTATTATCAACGTTCTCTTCTTCAGTTTAAGCTCCAGTGCAGTTAAATTGACAGTCTTAAAATAGAGTGAATGAAAGAGGAATAAAAGAATGAGAAAATACCATATTTACACTTAGATCAGTCTATGGTTAGGACTATTCATAGGTCATTTTGTCTCTCTCGCCCCCATCACCAAATTCTTGCCTCTCTTCTCGGCTCTCATACATTTGACAGGAAACAAATAGACAGTGAAATGTCATGTACAGGAGGACTGGGAAAACAAATGGGGTTAAGCAAATAAAGTAATACAGGAATGAATCAGTGTTGTGCTACTTTTCTCTTAAATAATTATAGATAAAAGGCAAGCTGCAATCGTTCCCTCCTTTAAACTGCACCCAAAACAAGAGCTGAGACATGGTCATAGAGATGCATCCAATAAATACTTACTTTTGATAGAAGCTGATGATGAAGTAACTATTAAGATCAACAGCGCCCAAATTTTGGTCATTGTCCAAAGTAGAGAGCTCTACCCCAATGAATGAAATTGTATGGCAGGCTCAGGTCAGCAGAACAAAAAAGAGAGACAGAGAGAGATGGGTACACTCGCTCTGACAAGGTAGCTCGAGAAAAAAAAGACTCAATGTTGAAGGTTTGATGGTTTATCTGTGTTGCATAGAGGTCAGATTCCAAACTCCAAGCATTGGTTCCAAATCAATGGTTAAATATTAAACTTTAAACAACCGTGATTTTACACTGATATCAGCCTGGCCTAAATCACGTGTGTGAAATTTCACCTATCAGAGCAAAAGGCAAATGCCACATCACTATTGGGTTTTTTTTGGACAAGAAACATTTCACTCGGAAGAAAAAAATAGGGAACTTGCAGCATTCTTATTCATTTCACCTTTTTAAAATATACCTTTCCATCAATTTTACAGAACTTTATATAAAAAAACGAGTACGCAGACCAGTACAGACATCCCAGAATGGTTGGGCCTGTTATGTGAGACTGACAAGCTTATCCATTTCAGAAGAGATTGAGATATTGGATGAAATGGAAAATATTTTCTATTAGGCAGAATGAATAAGCCACAAAAAGGTAACATATGAAAGCCATAGAATGGTGTTGATTTATTCATGAAGTTGAATTTTTAAAAAATATTTTGCTTCTAAACTCTTTTATTTAAGATTTGCTAATTACGTTAGAAGCAGAAAAGTTTCTTAGTCAATTGTCAAGTCATTTCAGTGTGTTCCTTTTGTAATTTCTATAGTACAAGGTACATCCTATTTTCAATGGGTAGTTTTAACCTCTTACCTAATTCTGACATGATCAAGTAGTGTTACAGGTACATTAAGGTCAAAGTACCAGTGCAATGCAATACTCTAATCATCACAGAGCTATGGAAATATAAGTCATGAAATACTACGAATGAGATGATTAAAAAGTATGGGGTACTGTACTTTAAATTATTTCATTTTGGGTTCCTTGTTCAACCAGCTCTCTTTGTGCTTGTGGAAGCAGATTGCTTAATTGTTGATCAACACAAATCAACAACAACAACAAAATTGCTAATATAGTGCCTGGTTACAGCAGAGAAACTTTCATCTTAAACATCAACTACTAATAATGTTAGCCTTCCTATGGTATTGAAAACATTCTCTGTAAACTCACTTTTCGTCACTAGATGCCCTTTTACTCTTCGAAAAGGCCCTTCGCTCATTTAATCCAGTCTTCCAAAATTCGAACCCTGCCATTTTCCAATTCACAGCATAAGTAGGAATCCGGTTGATAGTCGATTGGCGGATTCCTTTCCCGGGGTAATAATCCCTCAAATAAAAAAATTTAAAAATTTGGCCACTCAATCCACGACTGTTTGTGGGACAGTGCTGTGCTCGATTGGCTGCTGGGTTTCACCCACAAAATATACAGTCAATTCGCTTTGCAGTGTATGCTATGAAGTGCTTTGACACATTAAAAACTCCCAGGGGCAAGTTATGAACAATATGAACCAGTAACTAAAACACATGAAAGTTAATATTCTAAACTGTCAATACACTCTGGTATCATCAACTCACGGAGAAAGTAAATGGAGGGGTGGGGGAAAATGTCTGCGTGGAGTTAAGGAACTTCTAAGGCCGCTATCGTCGTCAGGTATTCTTCTCATGAATGTAAACAACAACTTGGATTTATATAGCGCCCTCCAAGCTGGACGGCGTCTCAGAGCGCTTTACAGTGACGGATCCCGGGACAGAGCCGGAGGGGGGGGGGAAGGTGACTGAAGGCGCGGTCGAAAAGAAACAAGCTTCAGTCAGATCTGTTGCCAATCAGTCCACTTGTATGGGTTGTAGTCCACTTGTATGGGTTGGGATGCTGGACTCATTGAAGAAATGGCTTGAAGCTGTAATGGGAAACAGTTGGGTAGGTATTGTGGAAGGATGAGTTCCAATGAGTGGAAGGGTCTTCTTCATCCAAAAACCTCTCATGATTTGATAGCGCTTCACATCTCTCTTGAGTCCTGTTGACCAACTACCCTAATGATTGGTTTACAGCTGCCCTCTGGCTCTGGCTTTGGTTGCTGCGAGGAGCACAAGGTTGGTTCAGATGAAGACAGCATCCATGGCCTTATTAAAAACGCGGCCAACTTGGAAAGAGAGGTGGGCAAGCAACGGACGGCTCTAACATTAGGAGTTTGTGGTGGCATTGCCAGGCACTGTGAGGGGCAGATTCCTCTGGCCAGGGGTTTGCCAGAAATTAAAATACCTTCATGGCCAAAGTCAACCAAACACCAGCCCAAAAAATAGCCCAATGTCACTCGTTGCCTCCAATGGGTTTGCAGAGCGGCCGAATAAGGTTGATTGTTTTTGAAACTGTGCTAAGAACAGATCCTCAAAGGACAAAAAAAAGAACAGTTTTGCAGGTTTAAATTCAAAAATATTAAATTAAGTGACAACAAAACCCCGCCCAATTGGGCGTGAAGCCGCCCAAACCTGGACGACTTCCCCATCCCTTGTGCTGCCTGCGACTTGCCCTCACCAACATGGCGGACGGGCAGGGACGCCAGCGGCTCCGGAGCAGCCAGCGGCGTCTGGTGACGTCAGTGAGGACGCGCCGGCGCCGGACCCTCGCCGTGTACGCAAGTGAGGCTCGCGCTTTCCCGGCTGCGTCATCAACGGCCGAGCGACCAGCTCGAGCCCGGACCGTTTAACGGCTCCGAGATTTGAAAGCGACAGACAGAGGGCGAGGGAGAGACTGGAGGAGGGAGAGAGTAAGAGTATTTTTGTTTGGTGTCTTGAGCCATGTGTAAAGCCCAACGCCGAGAGTCATCCAAACTCAGAAGAATAGTCTTTGCATTTGCTATGGCGCCTCAGCACGTTCATCGAGACGCCTCGAAGCGCTTCCCAGGACATCACGGAGTCATGGCGGGGCAGAAGGAGGCCATTCGGCCCATCCTGTCTGCGCCGGCTCTTCGAAAGGACCTTCCGAATGAATCCCCGCTCTCCCCCCTCCCCCCCCCACCGCGCGCTCTCCTCGCAGCCCTGCAAACGCGTCCTCCCCGGATAATGATCCGCTGTAAAGCGTAGTGACTGTGTGTTTTGCAGCCGATTGCGCCCGGCACAGCAGTGTCCCGCAAACAGTCGAGGGGAGGGGGGACGGGGAGGCGAGGGGGGACGGGGAGGGCGAGGGGGGACGGGGAGGGCGAGGGAGGGAGGGGGGACGAGGAGGGCGAGGGGGGACGGGGAGGGCGAGGGGGGACGGGGAGGGCGAGGGGGGACGGGGAGGCGAGGGAGGGGGGACGAGGAGGGCGAGGGGGGACGGGGAGGGCGAGGGGGACGGGGAGGGCGAGGGAGCGAGGGGGACGGGGAGGGCGAGGGAGCGAGGGGGGACGGGGAGGGCGAGGGGGACGGGGAGGGCGAGGGAGCGAGGGGGGACGGGGAGGGCGAGGGGGGACGGGGAGGGCGAGGGAGCGAGGGGGGAGGGGGGAGGGGAGGGCGAGGGGGACGGGGAGGGCGAGGGAGGGGGGGGGACGGGGAGGGCGAGGGGGACGGGAGGGCGAGGGGGGGACGGGGAGGGGCGGGGAGGGCGAGGGAGCGAGGGGGGACGGGGAGGCGAGGGGGGACGGGGAGGGCGAGGGGGGACGGGGAGGGCGAGGGGGACGGGAGGGCGAGGGAGCGAGGGGGACGGGGAGGGCGAGGGAGGGCGAGGGGGGACGGGGAGGGCGAGGGGCGAGGGGGGACGGGGAGGGCGAGGGAGCGAGGGGGACGGGGAGGGCGAGGGGGGACGGGGAGGGCGAGGGGCGGGGACGGGGAGGGCGAGGGACGGGGAGGCGAGGGGGACGGGGGGGGAGGGGAGGGCGAGGGGCGGGGGGAGGGCGAGGGCGAGGGCGAGGCGAGGGAGGGGGGGGACGGGGAGGGCGAGGGGGAGGGCGAGGGCGAGGGAGCGAGGGGGGACGGGGAGGGGCGAGGGGGACGGGGAGGGCGAGGGGGACGGGGGGGGGACGGGGAGGGCGAGGGGGGACGGGGAGGGCGAGGGAGCGAGGGGGGACGGGGAGGGCGAGGGGGACGGGGAGGGCGAGGGGGGGGGGGAGGGGAGGGGGGGACGGGGAGGGCGAGGGGGACGGGGAGGGCGAGGGGGACGGGAGGGCGAGGGGAGGGAGGGGAGGGCGAGGGAGGCGAGGGGGGACAGGGGGGGGAGCGGGGGGCGGGGGGAGGGCGAGGGGGACGGGGAGGGCGAGGGAGCGAGGGGGACGGGGAGGGCGAGGGGGACGGGGAGGGCGAGGGAGCGAGGGGGGACGGGGAGGCGAGGGGGGACGGGGAGGGCGAGGGGGACGGGGAGGGCGAGGGAGCGAGGGGGACGGGGAGGGCGAGGGGGGAGGGGGGGGGAGGAGCGAGGGGGGACGGGGAGGGCGAGGGGGACGGGAGGGCGAGGGAGCGAGGGGGGACGGGGGAGGGCGAGGGAGCGAGGGGGGGAGGGGAGGGGGACGGGGAGGGCGAGGGGGGAGGGGAGGGCGAGGGAGCGAGGGGGAGGGCGAGGGCGAGGGGGGACGGGGAGGGCGAGGGGGACGGGGAGGGCGAGGGAGGGAGGGGGGACGGGGAGGGCGAGGGAGCGAGGGGAGGGGAGGGCGAGGGCGAGGGGCGAGGGGGACGGGAGGGCGAGGGGAGGGAGGGGGGGACGAGGAGGGCGAGGGAGCGAGGGGGGACGGGGAGGGCGAGGGGGACGGGGAGGGCGAGGGGAGGGCGGGGGGGAGGGGGACGAGGGGGAGGGGCGAGGGAGCGAGGGGGACGGGGAGGGCGAGGGGGGAGGGGAGGGGAGGGACGGGAGGGGAGGGGAGCGAGGGGGGACGGGGAGGGCGAGGGAGCGAGGGGGGACGGGGAGGGCGAGGGGCGAGGGAGCGAGGGGGACGGGGAGGGCGAGGGAGCGAGGGGGGACGGGGGGCGAGGGAGCGAGGGGGGACGGGGAGGGCGAGGGGGACGGGGAGGCGAGGGAGGGAGGGGGGACGGGGAGGGCGAGGGAGCGGGGGGGGGGGAGGGGGGAGGGGGGCGGGAGGGCGAGGGGAGGGGAGGGGGACGGGGAGGAGGGGAGGGAGCGAGGGGGACGGGGAGGGCGAGGGGGGACGGGGACGGGGAGGGCGAGGGGGACGGGGAGGGCGAGGGGGGACGGGAGCGGCGAGGGGGGGACGGGGAGGGCGAGGGGGACGGGGAGGGGAGGGGGGACGGGGAGGGGAGGGGAGGGGAGAGCGAGGGGGACGGGGAGGGCGAGGGAGCGAGGAGGGACGGGGAGGGCGAGGGGGGACGGGGAGGGGGGAACGAGGGGGGACGGGGAGGGGGAAGGAGTGAGGGGGGACGGGGAGGGGGGAGGGCGAGGGAGCGAGAGCGGACGGGGGAACGAGGGAACCTGAGGGGGAATGAAGGTCACTGGGAGAAATTCTCTTCTCGGTTCAAGTCGTGCCATGGGGTGTTTAACGTCCTCCTGGACAGGCAGACAGGGCCTCGTTTTAACGTCTCATCCAAGGAATGGCATCTCCCTGTGGAGCACCTGCTTAGAGTTGTTGTAGGAGTGAGGAAATTACATCCTGTTAAAATGCCTGTTATTAAAGATGCCATATTTATCTTCAAGAGTGTTGACTTTACTGCAGAGATGAAGATGGCAGAAGAGGAAAATGATAACAAACATTGTTTTGAAAAATCTATTCGGGATAGTTACCGGTATCTTCATTCATTGTGTGTCAGTCTGGCTCAGCAACATGCTCACCTCTGAGTCACAAGGTTGTTGGTTCAAGCCCTACATTGGGTTTATATAGTCATGAGCTCAATATAATCTTAAGGTGACACTCCAAAGCAGTGCTGGGGGTGTGGTGCATTGTTGGAGGTCCCGTCTACCTGTTCAGGTGGAGTCATGTAGCTCAGTGGTTAGAGCACTTACTTTGCAAGCGAGAGACCCGGGTTCGATTCCCAGCAGGGTGAAACCTTGGGCAAGTTTCCTTACTCCACACGTCTGATAATAATCCCTCAAAAAAAAATTGGTCATTTCAATCCACGACTGTTTGTGGGACATTGCTGTGCGCAATTGGCTGCCGCGTTTCGCCCACAAATATACAGTCAATTCACTTTACAGTCTATTCTGTGAAGCGCTTTGAGACATCTAGAAAACATGAAAAGCGCTATATCAAATGCAAGGATTATTATTATTATGTTAAAGATCCCATGGCACTTTTCCAAAAGAGAAGGGAGTTTCTCCCGGTATTCTAGCTAACATTTCCCCCAAAATAAAATTGGGTCATTTGTTTTATTGCTGCGTGTGGGACATTGCTGTATGCAATCGGGATACCGAGTTCAGTTGGGGAGGACAAGTTTGCAGGGTTATGAGGAGAGCACGGGGGAGTGCAATTGGATGGCTCTTTTCAAAGAGATGGCACAGCAACGATGGGCCGAATGGCCTCCTCCTGTGCTGTATAATTCAATGATTCTATGTACAAATACACAGCCACTCCATAGTAAATGCAGTGAAGTGCTTTGGGACATTCTCCTGACATGAAAGTCAACATAACAAATGCAGTGATTATTATTAATTATTATTATTCAGTAATAATTATGTGTAATAATTATTATAATAATTATATAATTATACTTATAAATAACATTATAAATAAAATATATCCATAATTATAAAATTATAATAATGATTATATAATAATTATTCAGCATTGACAGTAAATATCAAATGTTTTTCTAAAAATTCTAAATAATTATATTATCTTTTTCAGCTTTTGAAGTGATATAAAGATTCAATTCATCATGACATCTGAATCAGAGACAGAGGCTTTTGAGGGAGATGTGAATTCATGCACTAAAAAAATGAAACATGATGAAATGAGCGAGTTAAAATCAAGAGATGAAAACAAACAGCAAAAGGATAATGGTTGGACTTTAGGAGAAAATGAGAATATATCGAAAAGGCAGAGGAAGCGATTAATGAGAGAGAAACTGTGGCAGGAACAAAAAGAATTACGGAAGTAAGTATGGGTAGTAGAGTATGTATAATTGACTTTGTATTAATTTCATGCAGTTTCTTCATTGTATCGTGAATTAATCCATACAACTTGATCAAGCACTCCGGGATGCTGCCCCATGTGAAGGGCGCTATATAAATGTAAGTTGTTGTTGTTTGGTTGAGTTCACAAGTTGGTAGATAATCACAGGATAGGCATAACAACAACAACATTACATTTGTAAAGCACTTTTCACATCGGGAGGACATCCCAAGGCGCTGGACAGACAGAATTTCAGACTCGAGCTGGGGGTCAGGGTCAGGGGGGGACGCAGGGAGATTGAAAGCACAGTCGAAAAGGAGGGTCTTGAGATGAGTGTTGAAGGTAGCAAGGGAGAGGTGGAGGGACTGCGGGATGGAGTGCCAGAGGGTGGGGGCAGAATGGCAGAAGGCTCACCCGCCCGCCAATAGTGGGGTGAGCGAGGCGGGGGACGTGAAGCAGACTGGAGCCTGCTGAGGGGAGGGAGCGAGCAGAATGGTAGGGGTTTAGGAGGTCGCAGAGGTAGGGGGGAGCAAGACCATGGAGGGCTTTGAAAGTGAGGACCAGAATCTTGAACTGTATCTTCTGTGAGATGCGAAGCCAATGGAGTTAGGCAAGAATGGGGGTGATAGGGTCACAGAGCCTAGTGCAGGAGAGGACAAGGGCTGCAGACTAATGCAACCAGCTAGTAAACTAGTACTCTGGTAAAAACCTTGGTATGTTTTATAACTTGACACCTCAAGGAATTACAATTAGGTCTCTTTCAGCCCCATTATAATCGTATGCATAATAATAATCCTTACAACATACTCCGCCCATCAAACCTCTGTTTAGAGCAGTTCCATTGTGATATCAAATCCCTTCAAAATAAAATTTTAAAAAATAATAATAACTTGGTCACACAATCCACGACTGTTTGTGGGACACTGCTGTGCATAATTGGCTGCTACATATCGCCCACAAAATACATAGTGAATTCACTTTACAGCATATTCTGTGAAGCGTTTTGAGATGTCTTAATGTGTGATAAGGCAATACCATCAAATGCAAGGATTATTATTATTATAAGGTTCACTTTCAAATATTGATATGAACATAAGCATTAATATTCTAAAAGAAAATTCCTTGTTTACCTCTCTGTCCTTCAATCCCTAATTTTCCTAGGCAAAAGCGTAAAGAGAAGAAGCTTAAACGAAAACTAGAACGTCAGTCTCAGAATGAGGAAGATAATAAAGATTCTGCCAGAAAACACTTCAAGAAAGACATCATCCCAAGCAGTGTTCGCGTTGTGCTAGATTGCAGCTTTGATAGTTTAATGGTGTTAAAGGTAAGAGTGTCACTCAGCAACAACAACAATAAAATTACATTTATAGAGCCCCTTTCACGTCGGGAGGATGACCCAAAGCGCTGAACAATCAGATGTTGGGACCTGAGCATGGGGGAGGGGTGGGGTAGGGGTGAGGGAAGGCAGAGAGGTGGGTGGGCGACCAAAGGCACGGTCGAAGAGAAGGGTCTTGAGACCGGCCTTGAAGGAGGCAAAGGAGGAAGCGAGGCGAAGGGACTGTGGGATGGAGTTCCAGAGTGGGGGCAGAGAGGCTGAAAGCTCAGCCACCGATGGTAGGGCGGGTCAGGCGGGAGACATGGAGCAGACGGGAGCCCGATGAACGGAGGGAGCGGGCAGGTTGATAGGGAGTCAGCAGATCAGCGAGATAGAAGGGGGCATGGCCATGGATGCAAGGTCATGGCAAGGCCATGGAGTTCAGCGAAGCAATAATGGGTGATTTAATGGGCAGAGAATAATAACAATAATACTCCTTACTTTGGTGTAGCGTCTTTCATGTCCGAAGGACATCCCGAAGCGCTTCATAGGATACACTGTAAAGTGTAGTGACTTTGTATTTTGGGCAAACACGACACTCAATTAGTACACAGCAGTGACCACAAACATCCATGAAATGAGTGACCAATTTTATTTGGGGGATGGTTGGTTAGGACACCGGGAGAAACTCCCTTCTCTTTTCAAATAATAGTGGGATCTTTAATATCCATCTGAACAAGAATGATTTCTTTGAATTTTATTCCTGTGTAGTAGTATTAAATGCCCCTTCTTAAAGTTCCATTCCTGTTATGGGTATTATGCCGGCAGGGCAAAATATTGGGCAAGTTTCCTTACTCCACATGCCTCTGTTTACCTAGCAGTAAGTAGGAACCTGGTTGTTAGTCGATTGGCGAATCGCTTTTCTGGGGGTAATAATTCCTCCAAAAAAAAATTGGATGCTGCATTTGGCCCACAAAATATACAGCTAATTCACTTCAAAGTTTATTCTGTGAAGCAATTTGAGACGTCTTGAATACGTGATAAGATGCTATATCAAATGCAAGGATTATTATTGTTAAGAAATTGTGGAAGTTTGATGTACACATTGCACTGTATCAGTATTTAGGGCTAACTTTTACCACGGCTTTAGTTAATGGTTTCTTTGTCTGATGCATTGTGGAACTGGATAGTGTTGTACCACTATCAATGGTGTAGAAATGTTTATTTTAAACAATTGTGTTTTTTTCTCCTTCCTACTCCACTGTGAAAGTCTTGAGAATGTATCACTGATTCAGCAGAAGCAGCAAAATAAATATATTTAATGTTGCTTTTTTTCAAACTAGGATATCAAAAAATTGCATAAGCAAGTTCATAGGTGCTATGCAGAGAATCGTAAAGCAGCACATCCTGTAAAGGTGAGTCTTAATTGATTTGTTTTATGTTCACAGTTAAGAACAAAAGTTGCAAAGACGAGGCTGCCATTATCTAAGTAAAAATTAAACGCTTGTAATGTGAAAATTATCACATGGATTACTCCTAAACATCTTGGGAATTAAAACAATAGTCCACAGATATATTTAAAAAAAGGGACAATGTAGTAATGGTAAAGCTTGCTATTAAGAAGAATGCTAGACTTTGAATAAAGGCTAGTTAGAGTTTCTCTTTCCTCGCCAGCTGATTTTGACCAGCCATAATGGGCAACTGAAGAAGAATATGGATGAGAATGAAAAAGGATGGGTCAACTGGAAGGTAGGAAAGACCTTCACACAAAACACTGTTGGGGAGAAATTCTATCTGCATGTAGATTTGTTCTATTAATGTACCATTTCAGAGCATCCCAAATTTGGCAAATTCTTAATACAGCCTTAATTTTGAAAGTTATTTTTAAAAAAGCTATAGAAAAGCAATTATGCATTAACAGAATTCAACAATTTGCCAAGTTTGGATGTTCTAATATTCTACTTAAAAAGTAAATCTAGATCCAGATGGAACTCATTCATTTTTCAGATGTAGATGAGTTTGATGGAATCTTTCTATCCACTGGTAATTGTGTTGCTAAAATTTTTCTTCCTTGGTTTAATGTGGAATATGAATTAACACTTCAAGAAATATTCCAGGATAAAACTTCATCTAAGAATATTTCGTTAAAATAACTTCCCACGTTTGGCAGTTCTTGAAGGATTGAAAGTGAATTTTTTTTAATTTAAGATAGCAAGAACTGTTTCTGAAACTAACAACAACTGGCATAAGATTTCCATTTCTATAGTGTTTGTGAGGCAATGATAATGGGAAATGGGACTCTAAAATAAAAAATAATAACCTACTCTTAATCCACTGTTAAATAATATACTGAGAATACTGTTATTAGGAGAGAATATCTCAGTCATTAAGTGCTCAGACAAGCAAAGATGTTAAAAGCTGTCAGGTATGGACATATTTGTGGGTCTATTGAATATCCTGTGTGAATGCATATGGATCGAGGAAATGCTGGTACACTGAATTATGTAACTAACCATTGAAAATGTTTGTAGAAAAATGCCTAGTCTATTTTGAAAGTAAGACTAAGGAAAGGTAACTGTTACTACACTTGTAATATTTACTATACGTAATAAATGCTTGTAATATGTTCACTTTCTCAACTATGTTGCCATCTACTTTAAAGAATTAGTAGGTGAGTAAATATGAATTGTCTCCTCAAAAAGAATGAGAACATCAAAAATCTAATCACCTCTTTGTAGAAAACATCAGAATATCACTTCAGTTAATCACTTCAAAAAATTCTGGTCAGTCTACACATATTTTTTGTTCTTTGAATTTGTCCACTAGGGAATCGTTGTTACCTCAGAGCACTTCAGTGAAGCAATACAGAAAGAAGATCTGGTTTATCTCACCTCTGATTCTCCTAATATGCTGAATGAGTTGGATGAGACCAAGGCTTACATCATTGGTGGCTTGGTGGATCACAATCACCACAAGGTATTTTATATGTATTCCACGTAGGAAAATGACTGTGTTCTCTGATAATGAAACTAAAAGGCATGGATATAGAGGTGCATAAAGTGACATGGCATGGAAACAGGCCTCTTGACCCAACTATTTCACACGGATATTTATACTCCATTCTCACCATCTGCAGTCCTTTTCGATTACCTTCACAAAATGATCATTTTTTCACCTTCTGGCTTTGGTCGGCACTCTATCACTCGGACACCCACAATTAAATTATGCTTTAAAGTATCCAAATCAGGCAGAGTTTCACACATGCATGGAAATTTCCCTTTGTCTGGAATAGAGTGTGCTCTCTTCCTAGAGTGATGCACCCTGCTTACCAAATCCTGGAAAGTTTTAGGCACAGGTTGATGAGTCAAGAGTTTGGGGCCCAACTCTGTGTGTTAGGTTACTGCAGGGTGGCCCACCTATAAGCAGGGTCCATAAAATTCTAGTCGGTCTTATAATAGGGCAGGATCTAAATTAGCTGCCGGTCAGTGTTTCCTCTTTGTGACGTCCCTGAATAATAATAATAATCCTTGCATTTGATATAGCACTTTTCACGTCTTCTCGACGTCTCAAAGCGCTTCACAGAATAGACTGTAAAGTGAATTGACTGTATATTTGTGGGTGAAACACGGCAGCCAATTGTGCACAGCAGTGTCCCACAAACAGTCGTGGATTGAAATGACCAATTTTATTATTTTTTTTAAGGATTATTATTAGGCGTGTGGAGTAAGGAAACTTGCCCAAAGTTTCGCCCTGCTTAGAATCGAACCCAGGTCTCTCGCTTGCAAGGCGAATGCTCTAACCACTGAGCTTCAGGACTCCGTGCATGCAGAAAGCCATCTGTTTGACAGATGAAGCTCAGTTCATTATTACCAAGGATAAAGAATTTTAATTATGAAAAGAGATTTAATAATAATCCTTACAATTGATGTAGTGCCTAGATCAACAACAAGAACGATGACGACTTGTATTTATATAGCGCCCTCCACGCCGAACGGCGTCTCAGAGCGCTTCACAGTAACGGGTCCCAGGGCCGAGCCACAGGGAGGGGGAGGAAGGTGACCAAAGGCGCGGTCGAAAAGAAAGGTCTTCAGCCGAGACCTGAAAATAGGAAGAGGGGACGAGGCGAAGGGAGTGAGGAAGGGAGTTCATACACCGATTATCATAACACTGTATTTCTTTTGAATTAACTTAAATTACTGCTTTGTTGTTGTCCTGATCGATGAAGGATAACTGCTTTCCACCCCAAGTGATGAGGCAACAATCTTAGGGCAAACGGCACCTAAGCAGATCGGAAGAATGTTAAACTGTCTCTAGTATAGTACAAAGCTACTACAAACTGGCACTACATTGGCGATCTCACTTAACAGCAGTTTCTTATTCCCTCTAGAGGATGATAAAGCTACCTGCATTTACTAATTGAAAACGGTTTTCCATTTAAAGTGCACTTACCAGTTTAGTGTCTTCTGTAAACTTGGATATACACCTCTCTATTCCTGTATCTGGGTCATTTATATGTATATAGTGAAGAGCTGAAGCCGCAGTACCAATCTATATCAGAGCATTATACCAACCAAATAATATTACTTGTATCCCAGCTTTCTGCCTCTTTATTTGCCAAACTGTTTCCAGTTCAGTAATTTGCCTTCAATTCCATGTGTCTTAATCTCAGAGTGTAACTTTATCAGATACCTTCTGAAAATCCATGTGGATGACATCCGTGGATCCTGCTCTACCATCTCAGTAATTTTGTAAAGTTTTCTGTAAAATTGGTTCAATGGGACCTCTCCTTCATTAACTATCCTGACTAACCCTTATCAATTTATACTTCACCACTGGTTTTTGTTCATGGTCTGTGATTTGGCTGTTAAAAGTATTATTTTCACCTTTCCCACTTTATATTTCAGGGTATAACCTACAAAAAAGCATTGGAGTTGGAAATTGAACATGCCCAGCTTCCTCTTGGAAACTATGTGAAAATGGAAAGTCGCAAAGTATTGACTGTAAATCATGGTAAACAATATAATGAGCCACTTGATACTGCAAGCCACTTATAATGCTCTTGCAGCGTACCTCATTCACAGCAAATGCACGAAGCCTCCTTCCCGCATGCCAGCTGGCTTTCATTCTAAAATGGCAGACTTTATACTTATTCATAATGGTAATCTATAATGATAAAAATATAATTTGCCTTTACGGGTTATATCAAACGCAAGGATTATTTATTATTAATCACACTGAAAGGTGTTGTCCTGATGGAAGGCCTGATACAAAATATTTCTTATTACTATTAACTTGATATATTGTACCATTGCATTTATATTTTTAATTTGTAGAATATACAACAAAACATACACAATATATTTCTGATCTGACAAGTTTTTATTTCTGTGAATGCTTACTCTTAATGTATGATGGGGCAAACCTTTTTATAACATTGAATAAAGTCCCAATCCTTGTTTGGATTGGTTTGGAATGTGAATTGAAAATATTTCAGCTGCTTTTAAAAAAAATGAAACCTCAGAGTGAGGTGAAATGTACATGTCATTAGGATGCAGGCTCTGCCAACAATCTCTCCAATCTGCCATTGTGGGGTTGATGTGTAAATGATTGAGATTAACCTGATGACATCTAGGCAACAGTCATGCATTTTGCCCACAAAATGCACAGTCATTCACTTTACAATATATTCTGCAAGGATTATTATTATTATTTCAATCATCCAAACCTGGCTTTCAATTGGCTGTAAAACAGGATGACAAAGAATGTACAGCAAAGAAACAGGTCACCCAGCCCACTCAGTCCATGTTATTGTTTATACACCACACAATTCTTCACCCATTCCATCCTCCTTCCCATACATTTCTACACCTCTGATTCCTCTTGAATGCATTTGTACCAACTGCTTCAGGCAGCGAGTTCCACAATCTCACTACCCTCTGTGTGAAGTAGTTCCTCCTAAATCCTCTTTTAGATCCCTCTAGTCATGAACACATTTAAAAAAAAAATATTTAAAACATTTTTTTCAAAAAAAAGGTCCGCCCACTTTGAATTTGGAGAATTAGGGTATGTTGGTTATTTTTATAGTTGTCTTAAGTTGGATATAGCTGCAGGCTTGATGTCTGAGAACGTGGCCTGATGAAAGCAGAATAGAAAAGAAGACTGGGGGAATAGGGTTTAAAGCAATTAGATAACACACCTTTTAAAAAAAAGCAATTTGCAACTCAAAATATTTGTCTCTAAATGTTTTTTTTCATCATTACTGACACAAGGATTGTTTTCCATTCTACAGTATTTGAGATAATCCTGACATATTTAGAAAAGGGGAACTGGCAGGAAGCCTTCTTTACTATCCTGCCCCAGAGGAAAGGAGCTGTCCCTGCAGACCAGACCAGCAGTTGTGGGCCTGCATCGAGAAGTGAAGAGCAAAAAGAGCCCGAAGCTAACTCGGGCTTTGCTGACTCCACAGAGGATGGAACACAAGTGTCAGGAGCTTTGAAACAGGAAGACACACAGCCTGCTGAACTAGACTGTGAAGAGACCAGTATTAAAAGTAGTGAAGGAAGAGACTGTGAAACGTAGCATGTTTTAATAAATAATAGTTATTTTGAATTTTATTTGCCTACGATCTTCAGTGCAGCTAATCTAATCCAAAAGCAGCACATTTGATTTGAGTTCAAAGCGTTTTACAGAGGTTTAGAGTAATGTCTTTTGGGAATGGTGCAAATA